ATATAAAAATATACAAATAAAGTAAATTGAAAAGCAGAACGATTAATTTTATTTGTGGTGCTTATTAAGGGGTGATTTTCACGATCTTTTGCCAAAAAAAGAGACGGGCATTATCCTTCAGTCGGGCATTGTGTCCTCCGAAGCTCCATTTTAATCTGGAAGCATGTTCTCCTGCGTCTTTTACTTTGGTTTTTCTTCTAATCCATTTGTTTGTTTTTCTTGTCAATAAGTCTCACCCCGAGCATCGATCTTTCCATTATGTTTTTACTATTTTATCCATATTAGACTTGGTGAGTGTCCACTGATCGTAAATTCTGGTTTTTAAATATTGGTGTATTTAAGTACTTTTTAAAATCCAACTCAGTTTTCCAAATCCTGTCCAACTCTTTTCAAATCTTCTAACCTTGTTCTTCTGGTAATTTCGGCAGTTTGATTTTCTTTGTTCTGTCCCATGTAGATGTATTCGCTTACTGTTTCTAAATTTATGTCGTTCAACGTTATTTCTCTAATGTTCGGTGTATTTGTCATTATTTTTGTTTTTTCCAAGTTCATCTTAAGACCTACTTTTTTCGAAGCTTGAAATAGTTGCGTCATCATGGTCTGTAGTTCTGCGAAACTTGTAGCGAATATTACAATGTCATCAGCGTATATTAAATGACTCAGTTTTGATCCATTAACATTTATTCCTTTATCTGCCCAGTTAATGTCTTTAACACGTCTTCAGTTCAAGTGTGAATAGCTTTGGAGAAATAACATATTCCTGGCGAACTCCTCTGTTGATTGGTGTAGCTTTGGTTTTTGCATCTATTTGTATTTTAATTGTAGCTTTCTTGTAAATATTATGTATAAGCATTCTGTATCGGGAGTCTATCGTGCAGTTGTTCATAGCTTCCCAAAGTTCTATGGAGTCGAATGCCTTTTTATAATCAACGAAGCCAATGTATAAGTTTCAGTGATATTCATTGGCTTTCTCTATTAGAGTTCTGACTGTAAGAAGATGATCCGCTGTACTGTAACCCTTTCGGAATTCTACCTGCTCTACCGGTTGATAGCTATCGAGCTTCGACGTTAATCTGTTAGTTATTACTCTCATAAACAAATTTTACATTTGGGACATCAGGAAGATTGGCCTATAATTCTTCAGGTATCCCCTGTCTCCCTTTTTTGAGGGGTATATTGGCATTAGAACACCACGCTTGCCGGACGGGTTGGTGAGTGTTCGCAGTTCCACAGCCGGTTAAATCAGTATTTGATTTTCGCCTGCGACTTTGTGATACCTTACCTGTCAGAAATTGTATTCCTTAGCCACAGGCCACTAATGACACTGCTGCTGACCTGTGTCATATCCGTTGATCCGCGGGTACTCATTTGGCGAAGCCTTATTCATACATGTCCTGCATATCTACAGGAACGTTCCCTATCAGCCATTGAGACGCACCGTGTCGGGGTTGAGGACTTCTTCGCCCAGTCTGTCTTGCACAAAGTACTGGAGTACTTTGTAAGTAGAGATTTGATTCTACAAACTTCACAGAAAAAACATAAATAAAGCTTTTTTAAACACTTTTAAAAAGTTTTGATGAATTTCATCCCAAAAATGTGCTTAATTTTTTGGTTCTTTTATGTTGAAATATTCAATTTGGAATTTGACAAGAAGCTAATTTTCATGAACTACTTCTCTGCTTCTACTGAGTCTAGAATCTACTTTGTATGTACACCATTGTTTTGTTTTTTTTTTAAGCTAAATTTTTGTTAAAAAGATTATTTTCTGAAATACTTTTAAAGTTAATTTGAGTTTTTATATTGAAAAATTAACTTTTTTACTCGCAAATAACTTAAAAAGTAATGACCTACTGAAAAAACTCTATAAAATTATAGTTGCTTAGAATAAGCCAATTTATCAATTTCTGGACTTATTTTAAACTTTTATTTATCCCTAAGTAAAAGTAATCCTGGCTCGAGTTCAAAAGTAACGTAAAGGGTGAGTGAAATCAAAATTTTCAAGCCAATCCGTAGTGACAAGTAAAATCACACTCGGAAAATTATAAAACGGTAATTTACTTTAGTATAAAATACGATGGTGTATTTTATCGAAAAATAGACGAGCACTACTATAAGAAATAAGGGGTTTGCAAGAAGGGGTTTGTTATTCGAGTCGAGAAGCGAATGTCCTTTTTAAGTTATGAAGTTATGATTTTTGAGGATGCAGTCAGTCTATTTGGCCCACAAGACAAAGAAAACTCTTTGACTTACTGTCAAGCTTTCGAATTTTATTTAATTCTTTTTCAAGACATCTATAAAAAGAAATATAAATTAACTAGTTAAAATTGTTAATTGTCTTACTTACTAGTCGTGAGATTACAGTTGTTAATACTGTACTCTACAAAACAAACCATTATAAATATATTAAAATTATTTTATTAAAAATAACTATATTGTCACTATACATGTCATTGTCATGGTTTGATTAAGGGACATATATAAATGAAAATACAGTTATTTTATGTGGAAAGCAAAACCAGTATTATAATTTATTTAATTGTAAAGAGTAGTGTATTAAATACCTTGCTCAGACTGTGATAAAGTTTATATAGGAGAAACTTCTCACAGCAGAATTATTTCTCATAAAAGTGATATAAAAACTAAGAAATCACAAGCTTGTGCATTAGCTGAACACTCCATCAATCTAAATCACACATTTAATTTTTCACAGGCTTCAATTCTAGAGAGGCAGAAACATGAACAGAAACGGTTATTTTTAGAAATGACACATATACAAAAAAATAAAAAATGTGTAAATAGAAGATCAGATATTGACAAATTAAGTAACATTTATTGTTACATATTAACATATCAATAAATACCGTCAAAATCTCATTTTCTATTGACATCCTAACATTAAAAATTCATATGTGCTTAAGCCAAACTGCTGACTGGATTAATTTATATTTTTTATAGACAATTAAATAAATTATAATAAAAACTATTGTTACTGGTTTTGCTTTCCACATAAAATAACTGTATTTTCATTCATATATGTCCATTAATCAAACCATGACAATGACATGTATAGTGACAATATAGTTATTTTTAATAAAAAAAAATTTTAATATATTTATAATGGTTTGTTTTGTAGAGTACAATATTAACAACTGTAATCTCACGACTAGTAAGTAAGACAATTAACAATTTTAACTAGTTAATTTATATTTCTTTTTATAGATGTCTTGAAAAAGAATTAAATAAAATTCGAAAGCTTGACAGTAAGTCAAAGAGTTTTCTTTGTCTTGTGGGCCAAATAGACTGACTGCATCCTCAAAAACCATAACTTATAATATTTAAATCAACAGTCAAAAATACCACCATCTTATATATATATATATATATATATATATATATAATATATATATATATATATAATATATATATATATATATATATATATATGGACAGATGGACAGATGATCTGGACTGATCTGATCTGATGGTTCTTATGAGATGGACAGATGATCTGGAAAGGACTGCCGGGAAAAATTGGCTACAAGTAGCGTACAATAAAAAACAATGGAAAGGAAGACTTGAATAGGCTTATGTTCAGATGTGGATGTGAATGGCTAGACGAAGAAGAAGAAGAAGATATATATATATATATATATATATATATATATATATAACATTAATTAACTATTAATTTTTCTTATAACACTATCTGAAAGCGGGAGGACCTACTTCTGTATGAGACTGCTTCTTCTTTAAAGCATCTGATCATCATTAGTGACGACAATTTTCTAATATTTTTCGAGTAGTTCATATCCATTGAAAGTTTGTCAATCATTAAATTTTCTGCCCAGATGTTTCTGGCGTCGTCATCTACTTAATATTAATCATTTTTCCATGTTACACATGCTGTTTTTACTTTCATTTTTAACAGGCACTGATAGTGGGGTACACCAGGAAGGGTAGTTTTTATTTGTTCCCTCAGTTGTCCTACCTATCTAACAACCATGATAAAGGAAAAATTGAGCTTAGTAAGAACTTTTCTAAAATCCATAATACCATATTTTCGTATAAAAATATTAAATTAACAAAAGAATGGATGACAGATGAAATATTTTATGTTATGGAATATACTACGGCAAATAAAAAGACCATATAAAGCTTGGTTGTCAAAGATATGTACTAAAATTAAAAGACTATCACCCAAGCATAACGACTTTCAGATGCACAAAAAGATTAAACAGGTACAGAACACTAGAATACAACGCAATATCGGCACAGTTGTAGACATCGAAGGCCAGATTTTAACTAGAAATAAAGATTAATTAGAACATGGAAAGAATAGACGCAAGAATTATTCGAAGATACAGCAAGAAAACCGACTGAAATAGACAATAAAGAAGTAAGTATGGCTATTCAATGGATTAAAATTAGGAAATAACCAGGATCTGACGAAGTGCTTAGTAAAATTTATAGCTATTAAAGTCACACCCAAATCATAGCTCTTACTGCGCTATTAAATATCATTTTATGACTGCTCACGAATCAAAAGACTGGCTACTATTAAGAATAATTCCACAACCAAAAAATCCTACACTAGGAAATACAAAGAACATAGAGTACTTAGTTTGATAAGCCATGTATTTAAATACATATACCCAATTTAATAGACACATAAGAAAAACTTAACTTGTATTCAGAGAAGGACTCGGAACAAGAGAAGCACTTCAAGAATAATAGCAAACTTATATATCCAACAAAATGCAATAGTGCGATTTATTAATAAACTATCACCTGTCCTATTTAACGTACAATATGAATATATATTTAGAAAAGCCTTAGACGAATTAGAACATGGCATTACAATAAATGACCAACTTATAAATATTTTAGTATTTCCCTTTTAGAAATATATGGAAGTAACAAAAAGGTAAAAAAAATTAAGAATATTTGTCTTAATATTTATTGATGATTCATAAACTAAATTCCATCTTATACTCTTATCATCAGTAGCCACCAATTTTAGGACAACTTGAAGGTTGAATACATCCACCTACTATACCAATGTCATCCCAAATTAAACCTTGGTTACATACACAGGCAATGCGACATTCAAAACTGCAGGCTGTACGGCGACAAGTTGGATGTCTGTTTCTACAAGTTGGTTCTGGACAGCAAGGGGCACAACCTTGGTATGAATTTGCCGGACATTCTAGGCCAACTGAAAAATATTTGGCTTAATATTCTTACTTAGAAATTAGTCGTCAAGAAAACTGTTTTTATTTTGACCATTCTTACAGTTCTTGTAAATAAACCACAAAATATAAGCAAAATTCTTTTCCTAACATTTTGACTTTGAATAGAATATAAATATTATGTTTTTATAGCATTAAGCCACAATTTATGGTTGTAATAAAAGTCACATTTTTAATTAACAAATCTTTGACGTGTTGATTTCCTATCTGGAAATTGCTCTTAAAAAATAATAATATAAAACTTTTTAAAAATGCTTGAACAAAATTTTTGTTATTGGTTATGTCATTTTAAAATGGACATGCCGGACCTTAATCTTGTGTTGGCAAGATCATGGCTGTACAAAATTTGAGGGTGATGTTCTTACCATGGGAATATAAAATTCCTACTGCTTTTGTATTAAATATTTGTGTAACAAACAGTATAGCAATAATTATTGTGGTTAAGTACGTGATTTTAGCAAAATAGATTTTGTGTTTAAGGTAGTGGATAATACTCCTCTACGATCCCTGTAGAGGACAGGCTGCTACAGGAAGTGGAGTCCTAGCCGTACGCTAGCTACTGACTTTCTCCTATGTCCAAGCCTTTAGGAAAGGCCAGGTCCCCAACCTATCTTCCTACCCATTTTCCCATCCTTATCACATCGTGATATATCCCGCTACAAACCCACACTTGCCAGCGTGGTAGTTAAATGGCTAATTTTCCCCGTAAGTTACATGACACAAACTAGAAAAAGGACCTTAATCCCCGGCGGCCTAACGGTCCTTGGTGACGGTAGCCACCAGATTGGACCAAGGGCAGAGGGTGCAAAGAATCACCAAGATAGACACGGCTACCATGGACAATGAACATTGTATATTGCCACTTATAACGTAAGAACGCTTGCAACTGAAGATAAACTCATTGAAGTACAGGAAAAACTTAACTGCATAAAATGGGATATATTTGGACTTTCCGAAATACGAAGAAAAGAAGAAAACCAATTAATTTTAAAATCAGAGCATCTGCTACATTCCATTGGAGAAAACGATAAGGCAGTTGGCAGCGTAGGCTTTCTGGTGCACAAGAAACACCTAGATAAAATTTTATATATATATATATATATATATATAATATATATATATATATATATATATAATATAAATATAAATAAAACAAAAATAAAATTATAAAAATAGAGAGTGTAAGCTCAGGAGTTGTGTACCTCATATTAAAACTAAACGAGAGACATTCTATTAAAATTATCCAAGTATATGCACCTACGACGAGCCATAGCGATGAAGAAATCAAAAACTTTTATAAAGATATAAATAGAGCTATAGTAAAAGATAAAACGCACCACCTAATCTAAATGGGCGATTTTAACGCTAAACTTGGATTTAAAGAAGATAACGCAGAAGTGGCTATGGGCTCATTTGGATACGGTAAGCAAAATGATAGAGGAGGTGTAACATTAATATCATTTATAATTTACGAATATTTAGTACATAATTAAGGTTGAAGATGTGATGGTGGAGCAACTAAAAACTGTGGCAATACTAGCTCTTTTAAAGTAGGCCTACCTATAGAATTTTATGATGAAGTCAATACTAGTAATTTCTGGCCAAAAAGAATCATTTTTAGACGTTTTAACTTCAAGAGAAGAGAAAATTAAAATTTAACTCAGGAGTTTGTTTCTCAGAAAAATAAAAACGATAGACGACAATCAAGCAGGAATAACTTGGAAATGTCTGTTTATTATTAAAATATGGAAGGTCTCCGCACCAAATTTAATGATTTTTTGTTATCTGTTATTGCCAACGATTATGATATGCTACTATTAACCAAGACCTCTCTGTATGATGGTATAGAGGATGGAGAATTGGGAATTCCAAAGTACAATACATACAGAGGAAAAGATGTTGCCAGTATAGCAAAACGTTTGGGTGGTGCTCTAATTAATGTAAAAAAGGAATTTGTTTCTTCAGTAATCACTTCAAAATCAGCCAATATTGAAAGTGTTTATGTAAAATTGCAAACACCAAATCAAAAAATCCGTTTTGTCTGTGGATATATACCACCATCATCTCCATTAAACGTTTATGAGGAACTTTATTATGGCAATTGAAGATGTTATTCAAAATAATGGCTTTTCAATGTCCTATATAGTAGGTGATTTTAATCTACTAAACATAGTTTGGGAGAACGAATATCTAGGATCAAGACCAGTTGGTAATATTGAAGAATCTGTTAAGTGTATCTCAAATTTTATTGCTTATACTTATTTTAAAATAATACAATATCGAATGGTTTAGGAGGTTATTTGGATTTAATATTGTTAAATAAAGTTGTAAATGTCAAATGTGTTGATTTTCCTTTGTTAAACTGTGACAAGTACCATTCAGCACTTTCTTTCTGTATTGATTGTGATTAGAACTGAGTTCCTTAAATACAATTATTATTATTAGGATTTTAATAATGCTAATTATATTTTTATTATAACAACGTAAGTGGACGTGAGCTAGTCCAGATGGCATAACAAAAAACGAAATTGATTTCATCATCACAAATAGAAAAAATATTGTCCAAGATATTACAGTAATTAATAAAATCACTGTTGAGAGTGACCATCGGTTGGTTAGAGCAAAAATACCAAGACAGTTAAACAAAGATATCACAAAATTCATTCGAAAAGATGTCAGAAATTACAACACTGAATACATAACTCAAGCCAATGATCAAAATAAAATTTTAAAGGTTCTGCGCCGACAAATGACTAAAGGATCGAAAAATATTTGTAAACTTGTAAATAAAAAAGGAGAAACTACAACAAATATGGAAGATATTTTAAAAATTGCTTAAGATTTTTACTCAGAATTGTATAAGCGAGAAGAACTTCCAGATTCTGATCAAAATCAAATACCAAAAGTTCAAAATGTAGGCTCAGAAGACATCTGAGATATCACAACGGAGGAAATAAAAGCAGCTCTTTCGGAGATGAAAAACAATAAATCACCTGAAGAACATGAGATAGTCATTGAACAAATCAAAGAAGGACGAGGAGCGTTACTAAATGTGTTGAAAAAGATGTTCAATGCGTGTTTGACAAAAGGCGTAACCCCCTCCCACTGGCATATTGCAATAATTACCATATTGCATAAAAAGGTGACATTTCAGACCTAAAAAACTACAGACCTATCAGTTTGCTCTCCCATACATACTAACTATTCATGAAAATAATAACAAAACGCCTTATGAACAAACTGGATATTTACCAACCTTGTGAACAGGCTGGGTTGCGCTCCAGATACAGAACAAATGATCATCTATAAGTTATAAAAACGCTAATAGAAAAGTGTACAGAGTATAACAACCCCATCTTTCTTATATTAGTAAATTATGAAAAGGCGTTCGATACTATAGATTTAGCTAACTGCCGCGTTGACTACCGATATATCGCCTTGATTAATAGTATTTACGAAACTGGTACAGCTTGTGTCTGCCTTTATGAAGATACCAAGAAGTTTCGAATAGAACGTGAAATTAGTTGTTCTTGAATATATGTTCAAGCAAATGGAACGAGAGGATAAAATGGAATTAATATAAATGGGAAGATCTGAACCACCTAAGATTTGCCGATGACATCGTTTTAATATCTGATAGAGTTGATAAAGCTACAAAAATGCTGCACACGCTCTATAAAGTGTCAAAAACAATTGGTCTTAAAATTAACACCTCAAAGACAAAATTTATGACTAACCTTGTAGTCAGCGGTAAAATTCTGATTGAGAGCCATAGCATCGACCAAGTAATAGCTTACAAATATCTAGGGCATGAGATTCGCTTAGGCCGAGATAATCAGACAACTGAAATACAAAGAAGGATAGGTCTCACATGGGCTGCCTTTGGTAGATTGAATAACATTTTCAAGTCTAGTATCCCAGTTTGTTTAAAAAGAAAGGTTTTTAACCAGTGCGTTTTACCGATTCTTACATATGGTGCAGAAACACTGACTCTGACAAAAAGAACAATAGATAAAATAAGAGTTACACAACGCGCTATGGAAAGATCAATATTAGGTATTACCATCAGAGATAAAGTACCAAACCTAGAAATAAGAAGAAGAACAGGAGTCACAGATGCAGTTGAAAAAATAGCCATGGCTAAATGGGCTTGGGCCGGACATGTTGCCAGATTAACGGATGATAGATGGACCAGAAAGATTCTGGAATGGCGACCAAGGCAAGATGCATATCGAAGCAGAGGACGACCACCGACTAGATGGACGGATGATATCAAGCGCATCACCACAAACTGGATGCAAGAAGCTCAAGATAGAAATAGGTGAAAAATTTTACGGAAGGCCTACGTTCAGCAGTGGACAAATATAGGTTAATTGATGATGATGATGATGTATTGTGAGCTGCATGTGTGTTGTGTGTTAGATTGTAGATGATGTTTTTCGACCTCCTATTACTCCGCTATTATTGGTATATTCTTGTTGTTGATTTCTTCTTTTAGTGTTGGCAACTATGTTGCTGCATTCTAATGAATTTGGTCCATTTTGCTTTTGCTGATTTTTCTTCGTTGAATACGATAAGGGCTGCTTTTGAGGCTCTTCTTGTGAGTGTTTCTAGATCGCTTTTAGTGTTGTTTTGTTCTTTCTTAAATCTTGTGGAATTCATTGTTTGTAAATTACAGTGTGTAGTCAACCTTTGTTAGTAGGCTTTTTTCTTTCTAAAAGACATTTTCATCAGAGCAGGTGCTTCGGAATTTATCATATTATAGAGATTTAGTAATTTATTTTTTGATGTTTACGTTGTGGTTAGAGTGGTAATTTAAATATCTGTTGGTATAGGTTGGTTTTCTCTAGACTTTGGTTGTAAACTCTGTGTCTTTTTTGTGTATATGTATGTGTATGTGTATGGCTAATAATTGTGGCTTAATGACAATACAGGCCTATAATAAAAAACAAAGAAAAATAAATTT